AGAGCGCAGAGGGCAAGAGGAAGAGGGAATGTTGAGGGGGAGCACGGCCAGCAGGCCTTGCCTCTCTTCCCAGCCCTGGGGGTGCTGCAGCTGCAGTGCTGAGTTCCTTGGGACAGGAGGGGTCTGGAGCTCCTGGAGCGAGTTCCATGGAGGCTGTGGTGGGGACTGGAGGTTTGGCAGCAGCACCAACACCTGCACAGCCAACAGCTCCCCTCTCTGTGAGCAGGGACAGGACCCGAGGGAATGGCTGGAGCTGTGTGAGCTAGGGCTAGCTTGGGTGTCAGGAAAAGGTGCTGACAAGCACTGAAGGGGCTCCCCAGGGAATGGGCACGGCCCAGTGGCCCCAAAAGCTCTCCCACCTCATCCTGTGACAGAGCATGGCCTTCCAGAACGTGCTTAGAGCTACAAGTAAAGAGCAGAGACATACAAAACCCTCTTTTAACAAGGTTAAGACAATGTCTTTTAGAGATTTCTTGTCTGCCTCCCTGCTGTGGAAGAGCAGCAGCTCAGCTGTGACACAGAGGTCCTTTTCAGGGCCTGGCAGGCACAGGCCACTGCAGGAACGCCGATAGCACCGTGTGGGAGCTGCTCCCAGAGAGCTCCTAAGCACAAACCCAACACCAGAGCCACCAAGAACTTTTGGGATCTTTTAAACCACATCCAAATTTCCCTGTTCTCCCTTCAGCACTCCAGCTGCCGGTGCTCTGTTGAGGGACCCAACCAGACACAGGAGTGGAAACTCAGGATTAGCTTCCCTCGCTGGAGGACTCCTGAGTGACTGGCTTGGATTGTTCACTGAGAGCAATCCTCTAACAACTCATGGAAGAGCCTTGGAGTTTGACATTTTTATAAACATCGACCTTTTTATCTTCAGTGTTTGTTGTTTGAGGAAATCCCTTCTAGTTCTTATGCATGTATAACATCTAAAACAATTGAATTAATACCACATGAGGGTAGAGGGGTGAAAAATAACGTCCATAGCCAAAATAGTTTAGCAAAACAGTACAGCTGAGGTTTAAGGCTGCCTGTGGTGACTTTGTATTTTGTTTAAACATTGTTTAAACATTGGTGTTAATACTTCATATAGATATGTGCAGCACAGATTACAACAGTATGTGCTGTGTGCTGTGTAATTTATGAACAATTAAACTTAATTCTTATGTTTTGAGGTTGTGAGTTATAACTAAACAGAATCTAAACTGCCAGAAAATGAAGGTTTTTTTAGATTGTTTTTTCTGGATTAAGCTGTTTTGTGGGGCTGGGGCAGACAGACCCAGAGCCAAATACTTGCACACTCAACCTCAGCACGCAGAGAGCTCAGGCTTTATAAAGTTAAGTATTTTTTATGTTCTGCACATGTATAAGCTCTACTGGGGGATTTCCAAAATACAGCTTATCTGGCTAGATTCATACTGTGTGTGGGAGCAAGGCAGTGGGGAAAGTCTTCTGCTCCCTCTGAAATCCAGGGATGCTGGAAGAAGAGAGAATGGCTGTATGACATCATGTCAGTCGGTAAAATCTCCAGGAAGCACAGCAGTGCTGACTGTGAGTCTGAACTGCCCTCAAAAAACAGAGCTGAAGCTTCTTGACTTTCTTTTTCTGTCTTGCTCAATGACACCAACGTTTCTGTGGGCAGTGTGGAGCTCCAGGCAGTCCTGGGCTGGTGCTTCCCTGGCTCTGCTCCATGCTGCTTCCACCCCTGCCACAGGTGAGCACAGCCCCTGCTGCACCTGAGCTGCAAAACCCCTTGGCTGTGCCCCTTTGGCACTGCAGAGTGAGAGTCAACCCCAACAGAGGCAGCAGGAGGAGTAGAAAGGTAATGGCTATGCAAGGAATTAGGGGAGGGGAAAATCACAGAGCATTAAAGATGGAAAAAGATCCCTGAGACCAAGGGTTCACCCAGAGCTGCCATTAAACCACACTCCCAAGTGCCACATTCTGTCCAACACTTCCACCACCATGGCCCTGAGCAGCCTGTTCCAAAGTCTGACCTCCCTTTCAGTGGAGAAACTGTCTATAATACCCAACCTAAACCTCACCTCGTGCAACCTGAGGGTGCTTTGCCTTGTCCTGTCACTTGTTACCTGGGAGAAGAGGCTGACACCCACCTGAGCACAACCTCCTTTCAGGCAGTTACAGAAAGTGATGAGGGCTCCCTGAGCCTCCTTTTCTTCCCACTAAATAACCCCACTTCCCTGGGGTGCAAAAGTGAGTGGTGTTTCTCCCTCCCAAGACCAGAGTTCACACTGGAACAATAAAGCCAACAGCTTTATGTGGGCAGAAGGGGGAATCCACATAAAGAGTGAACCTGGAAATCCTGAGGAGCATACAGGTGAGACCACTGCCCTTGGGGGAGCCAGCCAGGGGGTGAACAACTCCTCCAGATGTAGCCTGCCACCATTCTTCCCTAGAGCTCACTCCTCCATCCTCAGGGCTCAGAGAAAGCAGCAAGCCGCTGCCAAACCGGCATATTCCTCACAGACACCCAGTCTGGGGCTCTATCCAGCAGCTGAATCACCAGAAGAGCTTTGCAAATTACGCTTTTCAATAACTTCTACTGCACTCTGACACTTTTTGCCGCTTGCAAGGTTTACTTGGGAGATGAAACACAAGTTAATTACACTGAGTGATATGTCAGGAGAATGGGTGGATTTGCCCTCCCCTCCAGCTGGGCTGTCGTGGCCTGGCAGCAGCCACCCCACATCCTGCAGGAAGGAGACAGGATACGGCAGGAAGGCACATTTGAGCCATCAGCCTGACACTTCTTTATTGCAGTGTATTTATTTTTTATCATGTGCTTTGACAGGAGTCTCATAAAGTGTTATGCTCCTTCTGTAAGGTCAAAGTCTTGTGACCTTCCGTGATTTTAGAGAGAAGGAACTTAATTTTTGAGGGCATGTTTATTATTTCTGTAAACAGTCTGTTTTTCATGCCAAGTGAACAGTTTTTCTGTATGTACTTAGATGACAGCTCAATTTTACTGGCTCACTTTCCTGACCAAGTCTTGCCTGCCAAATGTTTTTGATCATGTTCTGGCAAACAAACCAATATTAATAGTAGAGCTAAGCAAATAATTGTCAGAAAACTTCTGATTTCTTTTACATCTCTTTATTGCTTCCATAATATCTCTGAATCAAATGCAGTTTCCTCAAGTGCAATTACAATTTTAAAGCACTGTAATTTTTTATTAAAAACAAAATCACTCTCTGAAATCACTTCCAGAATGGTTGGTTGTGACTAAGCAGGTCCTTCACGTTGTGCTGCTCATGTCCCCAAGGAACCAAGGGTCCACATTGCTCCAGCATGACTGCACAGGCTCCTCAGTTCACCCTCTGGACAGACAGCTTCCACATCTGTTTTTACTGGCACACATTTCCATGGATGGTAGACAAGCCCACAGCCAAAACAAATCTGTTTTAAAATTGGAACACTCCGTTTTTGCAATACATACCTTCAACCATTGTAGGCTTTGTAAGTGCAAAATATTGAAGTATTCATTTTAGAAAGCCAAACAGTTACACCCAGGTGAATGATAAAAGCAGGTTTCTGAAATAAATGCAGTAGACTACACCTTCCTCTCCTGCCATGTTGGTTTGCTAACATCCTTCTGCAAGGAGGACACACACCATGCACAGGGGGGAGAAGAGGGTCTCAAAATTCCTCAATTCCCTCAATTGAAAAATAATTCACTCTAGTCAAAGCTGTAGACTTCCAAATTTCTTCATCACATTTCTTCATCGTTATTTTGAAGTACATCCACTTGAAGCTAAAAACACTCAGATCTTTTCCCATCACTTTTACCTGTGTTGTTGTAAAACATGGGGTGATTATTAGCTCATAATTAGAAAAATTGGTTTAATGACAAGTGTGGGGAAGGTAACCTATGGAAACATCTACCCTTTTGTGATAAGTAACTCTCCTGGAACAACTTCTCCCTTGACTTCGTAAACTGTCAGAGCTGTAAAGGCCAAAGCACAGCTTTAAGGTCTTGAATTTAACAACTGTGAATCATATAAAGACCAAAAAGGCAAGTAAAAGGAAACTCAATACAAAAGCCCATTAAAAAGGCCAAGAAAAAAAAAGTAGTCAGAACAAGAAAACTTTACAGAATCAGGAGAAGACTGGTAACTTGGCAGAGACATGTTTGCATATTTTAAGGAGAAATAGGAACCAAATCCACACAAAGCAAAATGAAAGGAACTACAGAAAGCAGGATTGCATCTGCTGAACCTGTCCTGCTCTGACACCACAGCCAGTGGGCACCGAGGGTTTCCAACCTCACACTGCTGTCACCAATATCCTGCCCAGGCTAAATCCCTCAGAAAACCTGTGGCGGTAGGGACAGTTCATTGTTCCCAGGAAAGGTGACTTCCAGCACATTACTCATACCTAGAAGATCCACCAGTTCCAGTGAGTCTGCACATAAACCTGCTTTCACTTGGGGTCCTCTCCACACTCACAACAGCATTGTCACATCCCACTGAGGACGTGTCCAGCCCCTGGAGCAGCCTCTCCAGCTATTCTCTCCTGCTGCTGGCATTGTTTCCTTACATCTGCTGATTATCCCTCGGAGTCTTTTGTTGCCTTCCCACCATGCTGATGCTCATGGCAAACAAGAGAGACATTGTACAACTCATGATGTGCCTGCATAAACAGTGCAAATGAAAGGCTCCCAGAGAAAGCCTGAATCATCTTTGTAAGGCTGTGTTTATGCTAGAAGAGAACACTGCTATCCCCTGGGAATGAGTGGGGTGGCAAGAAACAAAAAGTGGAATAAAGTGTTCAAATCACAGAATTATGGAATCACTGAATTATTTGGGTTGGAAGGGACATTTAAAGCCCATCCAGTGCCACCCCTGCCATGGGCAGGGACACCTGCTATTATTCCTGGTGGGTCCAAGCCCCATCCAGCCTGGCCTTGGACACTTCCAGGGATCCAGGGGCAGCCACAGCTGCTCTGGGCACCCTGTGCTAGTGCCTCCCCAACCTCACAGGGAAGAATGTCTTCTTTATATCTGACCTAATCTGCCTCTGACAGTTTAGTCATTATCCCCTGTCCTGTCACTATCTGCCCAGATAAAAAGTCCTTCTCTCCCTTAAAGCACTGGAAGGCTGCAAAACCTGGTGCTCATGCAAGGGAAAAAAAGACCCCGAGGAATTTGGAAGAAAAAATGAAGGCAAAAGTTTAAAGGTTTCATAGCCCACTTTATGGATTATTCCCACACAGTTATTCTTCAGTTACCTGCTTCGCTGGAATCAGGGAATGCTCAGAAAAGCTGGCTCCAAAGCACATCGTGTGCTGGAATAACATCACAGTGCAGAACACCACCACGCTGAACCCGTGGGATTTCCAAGCGACCCAGGAGCTGCTGAGAGGAAGCTCAGGAACCTCGCAGATGAAACCCACCCTGCCCCTTGGCCCCAGCCATCCCAGGAACACAAAGAGAGGGCAGAACCTTGCAAGAAGTGCTTCGGAGCTGGGAGAGGAGCTGTGCACTGTGGTCCTTTGCCACACGGTGGCACGGGCTGATGTGAAGTAAGCTTCAGCCAGGAAAGCTCTGGGCAGACCTGGGGTGGCAAGCTCACTTTCCCTGGAGCTGTTCTTTCAGAGTCAGGCTCCAACTCAGCCCTGCAGCATTAGAGAGTCTCATCATGCTCTCAGAATCATCACCCCACCCCAAGTCACACTTCTGGGAAAGCAAGAAGTCTCCCTTTCCCCTTTTCACCCCCGGAGTTTTTCTTACCAAGGAACGCTCCTTTTCCTAGCTGTACCTGGGAGCCTGCCCCTCATGGTCTGCCTCACTGAATTTTCTGCTGGTTCTGGTTCATTCTCTGAAGTAAAAACCCACATAACTCAAAATACATTTCTGAGCGTTCCAGGAGCACAGATTTCTCTGTGCCATGGCCCTGAGCGGTTGTCCCTGCTCAGCTTGTGACAGAAGCAGCCTTGCCCCCTCTGCAGCACTGCACAAGCACAACTCTCGTGCAGCTGCACCACGAGCCCAACTGAGGACACACTGTGGTGAAAACCTCAACTTTTTCCTTATTTCAGACAAGAAAGAGCAAAGCCAGCATTTATTTTCATGCCTTTGTGGTTGCATCTTTACAACAAAACAAAGAGAGCTTTGTGCTTTCTTCTATGAATTTTACAAATTCTTGGTGAAGCATGCAAAAGATTGTTTATTCATGTAATTATGTAATGATAAACACAAATTTTGGGAACAGATCACATGGCATGATCACAGCCGTGCTCAGCCTTCCAAGCCCAAGCCAGCCAAATCCTAAACACATGAGAATGATAATTGATGGCAAAGGCACAAATCTCACTCTGTGGGACCAAACACTTAATGTGTGCCCTGCAGTTAATTTAAAAAATGAAACTTGTGAATTTTAATAACATTTTCTCATAGGCAGACACAGGGAAACCCTATTAGAATCTTTCAGAGGAAGACAGAAGGAAGAGTCACACAGCCTTTTTTACATTTTTAGTTTATAAATCAGTATTATTGTAGGAATATGAACACTGCCAAAAATCAAGACATATTTAAGACACTTTAGTACTGATGGGACTGATACATTTTAAGAAAAAAGCCCTGTGTTTCCTATGCTGACAACTCCTTCACCTTAGCAGAAAAGAGCGACAGAATTCTTTTCAGCATTTGCATTAAGTTCCCAAACCTGTTTTTACCTTTAAAAAAAAGTCAACTAAAAGTATGTAAACCCTGCTAGTGTTTAAGTAATTGATATAGTAGGGACACCTATTCTAGGTGCTAATATACTAATATGGCTAACAAGACAACACTGCCAAAAGTCTGTGAGTACTTTGAAAACCACAACTTAGACTTCCCAAGCGTGTTAGCAGGCACTCACTCCAAGAACACCCTGCCGACACTTGGACAGATGTTCCAGCCCAGCTCACTGATGTGTGCACAGCTTCATGGCTCTCACTCCTCCTTTAATCAGAGACTGTATATTCAACTCCAGCATTAAAACAAACCATTATGAACCTATTCTGCTCTGTATCCAAGACTTAAATGCCTTTCATGCCTATCAAAAATCTTCAGCTAAGCCTCTCAAAGCCCTGACCTATATCTGTGTGACATCTCCTCCATAAAATCCTTGCCGAGATGTGGATGGGGCAGGAAGATGAAGCTGAAACATTCGGGTTGTCAGTGCGACCACACCTCCACCTGTAGGCACCATTCACCTGGAAAACACGGTCATTTAGACATTTTCAATTAAATTCGCGACCTCTTACCACTAAAACCCAATGGTCCACGATTAAACATTAAACCATGTCAGTAAAACAGCGTGAAACATTCACACAGACATGCAAACACACAGACATGCAAACACACAGACATGCAAACACAGTCATGCAAACACACAGTCATGCAAACACACAGACATGAAAACACAGAGACATGCAAACACACAGTCATGCAAACACACAGACATGCAAACACACAGACATGCAAAAGCAACAGCCCCTCCCCTGCCGCTCTCTGCTCCCGATCTCACTCCCGCCTTCCCCAATCCGCTCCCATTCCTCCCCTGCATCCCTCTTGCTTCCCCTTCTCCCGCCTTTCCCCACCCCGCATGCGCGTTCCACCGCATCCCGCCTTTCCCGATCCCGTTGCTCCCCGATCCCGTTGCTCCCCGACCCTGCCTTTCCCAGTCCCGCCTTTCCCGATGCCGCTATTGCCGATCCCGCTGTTCCCCGATCTCGACCCCGCTGTTCCCGACACTGCCATTCCCGATCCCGATCCCGATCCCTCCGTTCCCAGTCCCGCCTCCCCGTCCCCGGTCCCTCCCCACGCATGCGCAGCGGCGCGGGGCGGTGCCGGGGGAGCGGCGCGAGCGGCCCTGCAGGTGAGGTGGGTCCGCGCCCCCGCCCCGCCCCGCCCGCGTCCCTCGCAGCGCCCCGCGCCTTCCTCACAGCGCCCGGTGCCCCTCAGCGCCCCGCACCTTCCTCAGAGCTCCCGGTGCCCCTCACAGCGCCCCGCGCCTTCCTCACAGCGCCCCGCGCCCTCCTCACAGTGCCCGGTGCCCCTCACAGCGCCCCGCACCTTCCTCAGAGCTCCCGGTGCCCCTCAGCGCCCCGCACCTTCCTCACAGCGCCCGGCCCCGCCGGGCACCCCGGGCTGTTGGGCAGGCCCCCGCTCGCTGCTCGGCCTGGCTCCTCCATTAAGGATTGAGACCCCGCCGCGGCTCCGCACGGCTCTCCGGGCTCCTCTTGCCGTGCCCGTCACCGGCTGAGGCCGAGAACGGTCTGTGGTCCCCCCGGGGATGTGCGGTGACACAGCCCTTCTGCCACCCGCTGCTGAATAGTCACAGAACCGAAGCACAGCAGAGCTCAGGCTGGTCTGGGGTTAAAGGGACCTTAAAGTTCATCCCGTGCCACGTCCTGCCGTGGCCAGGGACACCTTCCACTTTCCCAGGGTGCTCCAAGCCCCAAGTATTCAACCTGGCCTTGAATGCTTCCAGGCATGGGGCTGCCACCCCCTGAATCAGAACCTCAAATGCTTTCAGTATAATACATGATCTGTGTAGTTTTACTTTCACGAAGGCTCACAGCTGTCAGGGAGAGGGAGGTCCATCAATGACAGCGGGGTAGCACAATGGAAACTGATTTTCCCCTTCTCCGCAGTGTCTGCATGTTTTGTAGTGGCTGTACCCCACCTCTAATCATCAGTCAGTCACCCTGAAAAATGCAGCTCAGTCAGTCCCGCCTGAGGGACCTCAATGCATAGGTCAATCCACGCACTTGATACTAACTTTTAGATGTAGCTATTACTGCTTTTGGCTACAGACTGTCACTACATTCTTCAGTAGAATAACAAAAAGATATTAACGGTTACCTGATATGTTAATAAGCTAGACTTCAGTGTTTTCTGTTTACACATATCCCTTGCTTTTGCTTTTCTCAGAGATGTATTTTTGGGAGTCCTTTACACCAGTGAGCAAAAACACAGACATGAAAACACAGAGACATGCAAACACACAGTCATGCAAACACACAGACATGCAAACACACAGACATGCAAACACACAGACATGCAAACACAGTCATGCAAACACACAGTCATGCAAACACACAGACATGCAAACACACACGCACACACCTGCAACAGACCCTCACCTGCCGCTCTCTGCTCCCGATCTCACTCCCGCCTTCCCCAATCCGCTCCCATTCCTCCCCTGCATCCCTCTTGCTTCCCCTTCTCCCGCCTTTCCCCACCCCGCATGCGCGTTCCACCGCATCCCGCCTTTCCCGATCCCGTTGCTCCCCGATCCCGTTGCTCCCCGACCCTGCCTTTCCCAGTCCCGCCTTTCCCGATGCCGCTATTGCCGATCCCGCTGTTCCCCGATCTCGACCCCGCTGTTCCCGACACTGCCATTCCCGATCCCGATCCCGATCCCGCCGTTCCCAGTCCCGCCTCCCCGTCCCCGGTCCCTCCCCACGCATGCGCAGCGGCGCGGGGCGGTGCCGGGGGAGCGGCGCGAGCGGCCCTGCAGGTGAGGTGGGTCCGCGCCCCCGCCCCGCCCCGCCCGCGTCCCTCGCAGCGCCCCGCGCCTTCCTCACAGCGCCCGGTGCCCCTCAGCGCCCCGCACCTTCCTCAGAGCTCCCGGTGCCCCTCACAGCGCCCCGCGCCCTCCTCACAGCGCCCCGTGCCCCTCGCAGCCCCCCGCACCTTCCTCACAGCGCCCCACACCTTCCTCAGAGCCCCGGTGCCCCTCAGCGCCCCGCGCCCTCCTCACAGCGCCCGGTGCCCCTCACAGCGCCCCGCACCTTCCTCACAGCGCCCCGCGCCCTCCTCACAGTGCCCGGTGCCCCTCATAGCGCCCCGCACCTTCCTCAGAGCTCCCGGTGCCCCTCAGCGCCCCGCACCTTCCTCACAGCGCCCGGCCCCGCCGGGCACCCCGGGCTGTTGGGCAGGCCCCCGCTCGCTGCTCGGCCTGGCTCCTCCATTAAGGATTGAGACCCCGCCGCGGCTCCGCACGGCTCTCCGGGCTCCTCTTGCCGTGCCCGTCACCGGCTGAGGCCGAGAACGGTCTGTGGTCCCCCCGGGGATGTGCGGTGACACAGCCCTTCTGCCACCCGCTGCTGAATAGTCACAGAACCGAAGCACAGCAGAGCTCAGGCTGGTCTGGGGTTAAAGGGACCTTAAAGTTCATCCCGTGCCACGTCCTGCCGTGGCCAGGGACACCTTCCACTTTCCCAGGGTGCTCCAAGCCCCAAGTATTCAACCTGGCCTTGAATGCTTCCAGGCATGGGGCTGCCACCCCCTGAATCAGAACCTCAAATGCTTTCAGTATAATACATGATCTGTGTAGTTTTACTTTCACGAAGGCTCACAGCTGTCAGGGAGAGGGAGGTCCATCAATGACAGCGGGGTAGCACAATGGAAACTGATTTTCCCCTTCTCCGCAGTGTCTGCATGTTTTGTAGTGGCTGTACCCCACCTCTAATCATCAGTCAGTCACCCTGAAAAATGCAGCTCAGTCAGTCCCGCCTGAGGGACCTCAATGCATAGGTCAATCCACGCACTTGATACTAACTTTTAGATGTAGCTATTACTGCTTTTGGCTACAGACTGTCACTACATTCTTCAGTAGAATAACAAAAAGATATTAACGGTTACCTGATATGTTAATAAGCTAGACTTCAGTGTTTTCTGTTTACACATATCGCTTGCTTTTGCTTTTCTCAGAGATGTATTTTTGGGAGTCCTTTACACCAGTGAGCAACACCAAGCTTCACATCTGTGGAGGAATTAATCCCAAAATAATGTGCACCAAATAAATGTGTTTGCACTTTTGTATTGCTTGAAAGTATCAGGTTGTGATTCAGGTGGTGGCTGCCCCTGGATCCCTGGGTGTGTCCAAGGCCAAGCTGGACAGGGCTTGGAGCACCTGGGACAGTGGAAGGTATCCCTGCCCATGGTAGGAGTGGCACTGGATGGGCTTTAAGGTCCCTCCAGCCCCAACCAGTCTAGGATTCTGTGATTTTTCTATCTCTTGTTTCCAGCAGTAGTTTATGTGAGATGCAGAGAGTACCTGTATGTCTAAGGCAAGATGAAGTGAGAGAGAGAAGCAGTCTGCAGGGCCAGCTGCTGTGAGGGTATCACCTCAGATACAATTAGCAATGTCGTCCTCTCTCATGATGTACTTGCTTGGCTGGACAGATAAACCAACCCAAAAAGCGTTTCTTCCACATGTTTCTGTAAATATTTCACTTCTTCGTAAATCCAGTTATACCATTATGACTAATTTATTTTGTGTAATAGTAGTAAAATTATAAGTGAGAGGAGTTGTCTGGGAACTGGGAAATCTGACACGGAGAAGATAGTTATCTCATAAATCAGAGCTTTTCTTTTTCTAGCTAGATCTAGTTTAAGTGGTTCTACACTATTTTCCTAGGTGTGTAGTCACCTTTTGCATTGTAAGTCCATTAAATGAGCTATAAATAACACTTGATACAACTGTTCAGTTTTGGAACTGTCTTTTGAATTGAAATTTTCATATTACTTTCCTGCCTTTACCTAACACTTCACTACATTTTGTCCTTTACTGGCAATTTTAGGTAACAGTGGAACCAACAGGAAAAGAGAAACTGCCAGAAGTAGAGATGATGAAAGAGGACAGGGATCACAGGTGGGCTGCTGCTATGGGATCTCATTAAGCAGCTAAATGTGTACATTTCTGCCACAACTGGAACACTGCTGGTAAAGTTGAGACCTGCCAAAGGATTTTGAGTCTGCTTTTATGACTGATTTGTGGTGGTATAGCATTATGCTTCATGGACAGAAAAAAAAAAATTGTATGTGTATATATAAATTATATATGTAAAATATCTAAAAGCAGAACTTAGAGAAAGTCTTCAATAACATGTATACAGTTATAAAGTTATACAAAGCTAAAGCCTCCCCTGCAGACTTTCAATACAAGCTGAAAATAAAGCAATGTTAGTTGATTTTTATGATCCAAACTATGAGAAGAGCAAAAAGCAAAAGGAGAAGCTGGAAATGCCCAAAGCCAGCTAGGAATCCAAACACAGTTTGTATTAAATGAATGAAAATGAATCTTAGGTTTTAGTCAGCTTGAAGTTTTAGGATAATGTGATGTTTTGATTCTTTCTATGTGCTGCTGAAAACACTGCAGTGTAGGCAGTGGTCAGCCATTCTGATGAGGCAGTTTAGACACTTTTCCACCTGCCTAATCTGATAAACCTGTACCTAAGGTCATGGGACAGGTGGATTTGCTACGTCTGCTGTGAAGTGGCCATGAGGCAGCTCCTGCAGTGCAACAGAAGCTGCCAGAAGCTCAGTGATCCTGTTCTACTTACATAAAATGTTTGTTGGTATCTTTAAATGGCAATCATAGTTCAGCAGAATTTTCCAGAGGACTTGGGATTCTTCATTTTGTTGAAACAGGAATATGCCAAGCCTAGAGACATGAAGATTGCTAGTTTAGTCATTAGCATCCCACCTACTCTGTGTGCTCTTTTCTTGGAAATCGCAAATTATTTCAGCCTGTAGGTTAATTCTCCCAAAAAGTCACCCTCAGTTAGCACAAAGACTTGTCTTGACTCAAATACAGTGACACGTCCTGTTTGAGCAAACACGTTTGGCACTGGTGCCTGGAATTAGCCAAACTCTGCAGAACACTAGAAAAAATTAGTTCCTCAGCTGAACAAAGTGTCATTAATAGTGAGGAATACAAATGTAGGAACAGATAAAGGGGTAGCCAGCAAAACTCTGATACCTACAAGTGGATACAGCAGAGCAGAGGCTTTTGCACCAGGAATCCAAACCCTCCAAGGATTAACCCCCCTCTGGAATCAAATAGGTAAATAGTGTTATATTACCCACATGGAAATAAAACTTAGGTATGTCAGTGACAGCTTCTCAAATGTGAACATTCAGAACTTCCCCCAAAGAGTATGCTTATATTAAGAATTTAATTAATATTTATTAATTATCTGAAGCTGCTCTTTGTTCTTTAGTCAACTAAAATGATGCCAGCTTCCTCCAGCTCCTCCTACAAAATGTTTTGCCAGATGCTCCATTTGTTAACACATTTTAGTGTGCCGATGCTTGGAAAATACATGTATCCCTTTACTCATAATTCACAGATTCAGATTTCTAGAGCCTCTTCTGTAGTGAGTGAACAATGTGAAACCAAGGAGTGCTGCCATGGGGCTGTTCCTGTTGTGTGAATTGACCCAGACCCGTAACCAAGGGCAACCCTCAAACCACAGCTGAAATGCAAAGAGCAGATTTATTTCACTGTACAATATTTCATTCTAGCTGACCTCTGATTCTTTCTACCCCACATTTCCAATACAGATTCCTGCTGACGGTCTGTCATTCCCAGGAAGTCTTCACTGTTCTGCTGGGGCTCTGCTCTTACCACCACCCAGGTGTGCGTGTGCCCTGGCCCTGGGCAGGGCTGCTGTGGCAGTGGCACTGAACGCCGGCTCTTGGCGCTCTGGGAACACACATGGGTTCATTTTTGGGGGTTCTAAAGCTCCCAGTTGCAGCTGCATGCTGGGGAAGCTGTGTCTGCTTGGCCCCTTTGTGGTTGAAACTTCTAGCAACACACTAAAGAAAGATGTGCAGAAGGGGGTTTTAGGCTCCATAATCTGATCAGGTTTTTAAGTAGCCAAGGTACCTTAGTAGCTTTTCCCAAATTGTGTACAAATCTATTGAAGTCCCATTTTTTTTCCCCCCCCACAAACTTAGAATCACCAAACAGATCAGGTTAGATTTTAATTTTAAGTATACTTTGTTACTAAATAATTGTGAGGTTTTTAAAATTAATCCCTAGCTTCATTAATGAAAGAGATTTTTTAACACGACATGCAGGGAAGTGATGGGAATAGATGAAAGCCCCTTTTTTCATTAGTTACTAATTAGTGCTTGAAATTGATTTTGAGATAAGATCTATTTTTAAGCTAGAATAAGATATTGTATCCTACTTTATTTGCATTTTTTATTTATCGAGTATTTAGTTAAATCAACAAAATATTTGGGCTTTAACTGATTACATTTTTAGTTGATCACAGTTGATTATATTTATATGAACTTATTTTTGTTACTGTTTTGAGACATTACTTTTAATGCAGTTAATTTATACTTGCTAAAAATACTTCAGTGACATTCTGTGTTTTTACTGAGAAAGAAGAAATGTTTCATGCAGATAACAGTGATAGGCCCAGATAACAATGGAACGTTTCTATCTAATTCTCTTTTCATGGCATTTCAAAACCAATGTATCAGTTTAACTGTAATTAATCTCACTTCACAAAATTCTCTCTGGGGCTCTGTGTTTGTGTTGTGCATGTAGACACATACAAATAAATACCTGTTCACTTGCTGCTAACAGGAGATGAGGTGAACAGGAAGAGCAGAGCTGGGAGAGTCAGTTATTAGAACATCAGGCTGGTGCGGCCTGTTTGCCTCAATCCCTTTCAAAGCCGGGCAGACGCAGAAAGCAGTTCAGGGATGATTATCTGTACAGTCCCGGAGGCACTCCCTGCACCGTTTAGGTTAAGAAAAGATCGTTGCTGGCTCCTCCCAGATTACCATCCCCAATCCGATTAGCCACAGGAAACACCAGGGGAATTCATTCAGCTTCTCTGTAAAACGTGACTGCCCTGCAGCGTGTTTCTTGTGGCTGATACTGCAGCAATGAAGGGATCAGCACTCACTCATTCTTTTTGCAGGGTAACAGGTAAGGTGTTACACCGAAATTACTGAAACTATTAAAACTCATGTAAATTTACTATGGTTTTGACTATATTAGATGTAAAAATCCTCTAACTTGCAGAGATCATTTTTGAATTTGCACTTGAGTGCTGTCAGAATGCTGACAATTACTGGCATTATTTCATTCTTCTGCATGTAGTCAGTGTGATGAGTCTGAGAGTCTCTTGATAAACATGATGTTCATGATCAAGGGTCTCAGAGCCAGCATTTTTGTGTGTAGAATAGTTAATATATTCACTTTATATATTCACCGCCTTGATGAGTCTCTAGTAATTACTGCCTGCCAGCCTGTTCAAGGTAGTTTAAAATACCTTCTGTTAACCATTAGGTTAGCACTGCCACAGAAAGAGGTGATTTAAATAACATGGCTCAAGTAAATTGAGAGACTTGTCCATCAGTTTAGCTTGCAGTTTCTTGCTATTTATGTCAAAAATCTATGAACAGCAAACTGAATCACTAAACCAGCACCTACATAATCTTTTAATGAATTGTATTCTCTTGTCTCTTTTGTACATGAAAGAGGTTAGTCTTTTGTAAATATCAAACTTGATGATTAAATGACATTCATCTTTTACTAAGACAGGTGGGGAATATTTTTTTCCCAAAGAGGGTAGAAGACATGTAGAAATAACAAATCTGTTTTGGTTGTGGTTCCAGTGTGAAATCCCAGGAGTTTCACAGCAGCTGTAGTATCAGCCTGCTGTGTAAGTAGTGTATAACTAAACTATATGAAAATTTGTTTACAATTTTATCTAGTCTTCTCTCTGTCCTTTATCCATGTGTTTATTTGCTTTTGCAGTATTTTGGTGTTTGCTTACAGGTGGTAAATGTTTCAAATTTCAAATAATTGAGCTTTTTAAAGCACCTTGGGAATTGAGGTGTGTGTCTACTGAAAGATGTGTGCTCGGTGCTAAAACTGCCTTCCAGACCATGGTTAAATTGTAGCTTAAGCATTCATGAAATATGTGATCCCAGTGAGCTTTTTCACTTGTACAGGCATTAGAACAACAACCTTTGCATCATGTTTCATTAATCATAATAATCAAGTTTAGCAAAACCCTCAGTTATCATCATTTTTTTACAAACCTTTAGAAATGCTTTGTTATTCCTGGCAATGTTAAAATTAGATAGTCTGTGGTAATTTAAAATGCATTTTCATTTAACAGTGCTTCCTGTACCAGTGACTAACCACGTCTCAGCCAATTTAGAAGATTTTTTGCTAGAAACTCTCATGATCTGCCAATCTTAAAGCATCAGATTCAAAGCCTGAATTGAGAGACAAGGTTATAATTTAGTATCTCTTAACCATTTAATTAAATATATCCAGTCCTCACTACACTATTCTATTTTTACTTAGTCTTAATCATCAGTTATCTTTAGTCATCTGCCTGAAACATCTCCATTAGTGTTGTTTACAGGATTTTGCATTTTGGCAGTGAAACTTTATCTCGCGTGATCCTATATTTAGACATTCCGTTGGCTTCTGTGGGACTGCTCACAAAAGCAAAGCTTCTCAAGTACTTGCAGAATTAGGCCACAGGAAATTTTAAAGGTGTCAGCCAAGTGGTTAGGTACTAAGCTACCCTCACCCCTACCTGCAGCGAGATCACTAAGTTCCTTTAAGAATTTGACTGCTAGGTAGTCACTTACAGGTCGCTGCAACAGGGAGAGAACAAATTCACTTTAGAAGACAATAAAACAGTAAAAATAATCTCAGAATTTCATGTGAGAGACCTAAGCATCAGCATTGCCTTTATTGTGTGAATATATTTGAGGTTTAAAATAATTTCCCCCATATATTGATATTCTAAATTAAAAACTTAATAATTTTTTTCATGTTAATGCATACAGGTAATCTTTTTAAGTGTGTGGTCTGCTGTGGCATCCTTGCTTGCCAAAGCCACAGGAGTTGAAGATTTGGGTCCTCACTATTCGTGGATAGGTGCACAGGGGTGCAATGGGGAGCCTTACAATGGGATTACTGTCCATGCTGGCAGCAACACTGCCCTACCTGGAGTCCTTCCAGCTGGGAATGCAAGCTCTTCTCTCTGTTTGAAAATGTGTTCTGAAGTAAAAGGTAGCGATTGCATTTATTAAATAACCATCCTCATTGCCAAGATAGTGAGACCAGCATCTTCTCTCCTCACTTTTTGACTGTATAATTGTTTTCTGGCTGCTGCAATAATGGACATTGCTCCTCTCATTTCAGTCTGGAGCAAAAATTCAGCCCAGCCCCTGGAAGCCACTGGTTTCCAGATCCTGAAATACCAGAAATGAATGTGGGGTTTTTTTGTGACAAGGCAGAGTTGTTCATTTGCAAACCCCACTGCTGGTTTGCTGGGTCCATCCTGCAGCCAGCTCCTGAGAGCCAGTGAGGGATGCTGCCTGTGGAAGATGGCCTTTGGAAGGAGCATGGACCTGCTCCGTGGGATCCCTGATGTCCCAGCTGTCCTGCTGCCTGTGTTGCACCTTGCTGCTCCCCTGTGACCTTACAAAGAGCAGGGCCTTTATTCCAGAGGAAATGGCCATGGGCAAGGGGATTCACTGTTGAGGAGAAGGTGGATGCTGGGACCGACCTCATCCACAGTGGCACGAGGTGCCCGCACTGCATCCCCTGCAGGAAATGCACCCTTGCACGTGTGCAGCAGCGAGTGGGGCATGGCAGCTGTCGTGTTTCCAAATGCAAACACATGAATCCATTGCAACAGGAGACAAAAATCCCTTCTGGTAGAAATTGTTCAGCTCAAAAGTGGGGGGAAAGAAAAGGCAACTCAGAACTGCATAAAAACATCAAAGCATATATCAAACCCACACGTGGAGGGGACCTCTTGAAATACCCAGAGTGCTTGGCATGAAGATGCCAAGAGATTCCTTGGGCAGTGTGGTCCTCTGCTCTTGCCTTCTGCCAGCCGACAGCACAGGCACATTTCCCGCTGTGTGGTGTCAGGAGCGGGGTGTTCCCGCTCGCTGGATCGCACCGCTGCCTTTGCTGGAACAGAGGCGGAACTGCACCGCAGGAAGACGTCGTTCCTCTCATTCAGGGAACGGACAGAGAGGGGACTCCACCGCAGGAGATACCGTTCCTCTCACTCGTTCAGTGAGCCGGGATAAAGGGCCGGCCTCTTTGCTGTCAGGGCAGTAGGGATGCACGGCAGAGATCAAGCAGCAGGGCTCATTAAGGCGATATCGTGATTGCCCCAAGGTACGTGACTCAGATCCTCAGGCAGCTCATGCCACCGCGACCTGGAACAGCGCTCCAGGCTGTGCCTTCGGCAGCTACCGAGCGTTCACGAGATGTGCAAAATGCTGAAGAGCATCTTTAAAAACCAATAATATCTGGTACAGAAGCAAAGCAGGAGAGAGCTGCTGCTTTAACCTAAGCACTATTTTTACTTCTAGCATCCTTTTTATTGGTGCAGGAACGTAATGCCCCTCTGTAGGAACATCAGCACTGACCTATCCCAAATTACCACCTTACACCTCTCTGAGGGAGTGCAGTGTAACTCAGCAAAGTCATTTGTCACAATATTACTAACCTTTTCTTCAGAAGTAAATATAAGGGAATTGCTCCCATTCATCACACTGAGCTGTCAGTCAAGTTTTGCAAACTGAAAGGCACAGACAAAATATTCAGGTCAGTTGGGCAGCACAGGAATTATGGATTTGGTGTATAAGTGAAATAAAATTGGTTAGACAACAAAGAGCTCACCTCTGCACTGCAGCTTAGAAGAAACTTGCTAATATTTTGTCATACTCTAGGTGTATTCTCTTCTGCATTAACCTCCATCTCATCCCTTTCCAGTTAAGAGCTCTTATCAGCCAGATTCCTGGGAAAAAGAAAAAAAAAAAAGAAGGAAAGAAATAATTTTAGATGGAAATATCCCTGACATTTAATCTTTTTTTTATCACTTGAGTACAAGGAAATAGGAGAGCTAAATAGTCATTGTGGTGGTGATTCTTCTGCCAGGATGATGAGATATGTTTTTCAAATGTTATCTGGACAAGCTATTAAGAATTCTGAAGAGAACTTTCTGAGAAATAGAAACCAATAATTTTTGTTAATTCAGCATTATTAACTCTAAAAAAGAAATTCTGGGGATAAAACGAAGTTCTTTCTTTATGTTCAAAGTTTCCTCTGATGATGGAAGCCATCACTTCCTGATTTCAAAATCCATTGAAAAAAAAATAGAGGTTCTGGAACGTCTCCAAATAGAATTCAATTATATGAAGATACTTTATTAAAGGATTGATTTTTCAGAATACAGAGTCAGTTGGTCAAGTAGCTGAGTAGAAAATGCTCCAGATACTATTTTAATTTTTATTAAAGAATATTCCTGATTCATATTCTTCTTAATGTACTTACATTAGAGATGCATTTCTAAGCACCTCTGAAGTTTCAGAAGGCTTTTTGTCTTTCACTAACAAATGTAATTCTCATCCCTTCAAGAGGACTAGTGCAGCTCTGTGAAATGGTTCTTAATGTGGATCTGTGATCTGTTCCCACCATTAAGCATCTTGAAAAGAACAGAGCTGCACTGGCTGACTTTGTGGAATAAAGTCCATTAGCATTGTTGGAAGAATAATTTATTCAAGTGTGTGGTAGACAGTGTAGTATCTGAATGAAAAAAAAGTTATTTAAATATTTGCTACAAAAATAATTATGCAGAATTAGAGACAAAAGCTGAGCACTGAACAGTAAGCAGTTAGCACCACACAGGCCTGTATCACCTAATCCCCACAAGACTCTTCTATTGTTATATATATTTCTTTAGCAAATCTATATTTTAAAACCATATTTATGCTGCTGAATCCTAATTCTGGTTTTGCAGACTTGGGAAGCCAAGGTTTGTCTATTTAGCAAAGTTTCTGTAGTTAATGACGGAGCAGAGATGTGCTTAGTTTGGTATAAACATTTCTCTTTTTTGTTATGCTTGCAGCTATTTTCCTATAGAGATAAGAGAAACAGAAGGGTGATCTTATACTAAGTAAGAATTTCCACTCAAGAGCCTGCACAGGGTTTATTTAAATATCACAGACTGATTACTGTGTTCATATTTACAGCTTGCTTTATCTTTCTGTTGGATAGAAGGCCTTCAGAGCAGGACCTACCTTGTATTAGAAATAACAATAGAGAAAATATCTGTTTCTACCTGGGGAGAGTTGTGGGTTCAGTTTTCTTGTTAGAGGAGAATCATGGCAGATGTGATTCCAAAGCCCAAGAGTGCAGGGAAGAGAGCAGCAAGGGGCCGTGGATTGTAGTACCAGCCCATGCCTGACTGCCCAAATCTTCAATGACTCCATGACCAGGAGCACGTGGCTTTATTCTGCCTTTTTTGAGCTTCTCCTGTAGCTTTTCAGTGATTATTTTATTGCTTCAACAGGTACTGCAATGGCTGCGGGAGTTTTGCTGCAAAATGAGCAACCATACTCCTCACTGATAGAGAGCAGTGTGTATCTGGCAAATATGAGTTCAGGTAAGAACTTGGCTTTCATATGCCATTCATAATAAATGCTTAGAACAATTCTGGGAAAAAAAACCCACAAAAATTTTAAAAACCCAGAAATATTATCCATGTTTATAAACTTAAAATGTCTCTAACAAAACCAAACTGCATTATTTCATCAACATATCATGGTCATAATATGTTGATCTTTTCTGTAATTTTCATTTTGTCAGATCTCTTAATGGAAGAAACTATGCAATTTTCAAATTATTTAAAGTTGTGCAGGATGCAATTCTTTCTTACCGTTTTGGGTGAGTGTTTGTTTGCAAAGCTGCTAGATTCAGTAGGAAGATAATGATGTTGAGCAGTTTCTATTCCTTGCTTCTGTCTCCACTATCATTTGATATATATTGAAAAGTTTCTGGGAAGAGAAAGAGAAAAATAATTAAATACAAGAAAGGAATGTAGTTCATTAGAAAATATTTTTCACATTCCTTTAATACAGGTAGCACTTGAAATAGCCTTTTTAATTTTCTTTCTCTTCCACACAAACCCCAAAATAAAAGCATATTTACATGTTTCCTTGCCTGTTGATATCAGCTCCACTGATGAATGACGAGTCAAGGTTTTGAACATATTCCTTTCCTCACACAATATCACTGCTGATATTTCAGGCCTGGTACCCACAGCAAACACTGCCACGTCTCTGTAAGAGCTGGGGAGCAGCAAAGTTCAGGCCCTCAGTTCCTGGTCAGTGCCTGGAAGAAGCAGATTTTTGCCTGGTGAATTTGTCACAAAAGGGAACTTCCTCTTATGCAAATTCCTCTGTACAAGTTACTGGTTTTGTGGTACAAGAAGAAACACAAATGTGTTTTAGGAAAATGCAATGGGATTAATTTGTTTATTGACAAATTAAAGTAAATTTTCTTGATTTCCCCAGCCTTCCCCTTTTAGTGCAGTCTGATGGACATGACATTGGGATGACAGAGGCTTTTTACATCACTATAATCCATTCTGTGCACAGTAGCTTTTTCAAGTGCTGCAATCTTTCTGGCCACCTCATTCTCCTGCTCAGCACACTGGAAGCAAAGTGGGAGGCAATTTGCCACCTCATACCTACCTTCAGAAGCCTGAAGCACTCAGCTGACACACCTTCTCCTCCTCGTGATCTACTTTCTGTCAGGCTGCAGGGTTAACAGCTTTGCTTAATAAAAAAAGCTGTGCGCTGGAAAAAAACCCAAAAACCAGCCTTTTGTTTTGGATAACAAATTGTGTTTTGTTAGAAGATGTGAATGGTCCAGGCAAACAGTCTACAATTCATCATGTACTGAAGCATTTCAGCAGGAACACACTAATCCCAGTCATTACACAGCTAATGATGCATTTTGGAGCAGCGAAGTGGAGGAGGAGAGGTGGCTGTGGAATGAAGAACCAAGAGGTGGGGGAGTATAATGTGCTTCCTTACAGATCTCTCAGGAGGCAGAGCCTCCAGCTACATTTTGATTGTTCTGTTGAATGGAGTATTTTGTGTCTTAGCGAGTTCTGAATGCCTATTATTGAGCAGGAACTAAATACTCCCATTGTTTATGACAAACATTTTGGTTGTTCCCAGCGCGTTTTGAAAATTACCTACTTGACAAGCAACTATTTTCATCAAGCGGTGGAACAGTTTGTCCCGAGCAGACGCAATCCCTGTGGAAAGGAGCAGCCCGGGGCTGGCTGGCAGCAGCGCCTGCATCCTCCGTTACCATGGCGACAGCTCAGCCCGGGGACCAGCTGCCGAGCGCGCTCGGGGATGCTCCGTTCCGCTCCCGCAACTTCAGCGCTGAGCAACTTCCCCTGCGTTCAGAGCGCCCCGGGCAGCGGCGCCGGGCGGAGCTGGGGCCGCGCAGCCATGCAGCCTTCTCCCCGCAGGCGCTCGGCTGTCAGCATCTTTAGCCATTTCTTCCAGGGGCGGAGGCATTCCTCCTCCGATCCCCTTCTCCGCCTCAGCCAGCGGCGCCGCAGCTCCGTGGTGGAGCTGCTCTCCTCGTCCACGCACCGGGTCATGGTGGCTCTGTCGTCGCTCAGCCCCGAGGAGCTAGATGCAACTTTTCCTGAAAAAAAAAGTAAAGTACTTTTCATTGAGGCTGTTGGCAGTTCTGGGTATTTTCTTGGTATTACTATACTTCTGTTCTGTTAACTGTACTTTTTATGTGTGGATGAAAGAGTGGGGTTTAATTTTCTTCTTGTATTTTGTATATTCTGTTTTGTTCACTGATTCCTTATTCATTTAATACATGCTTTTTACTCTAACAGCTCAGTTATAAACAGGTAAAACAGAAGCACATATTCATGCATACTCCAAGGACATGGTTAACTATATTGATTTCAGGTTGAAGAGGACTGTGACTTTTTTCAGCTGGAAAGGATGTCACTAATCTCTAACTTCATCCAAAAAATATAACTGTCAGTAATACAAGCGATTTTTCCCCCTCAGAATCCTTCCTTGAACAACGCATGTATTTCTGGTGTTTGTGACTCTGTCATACGGCTGACGTGGTATTTCTCAGTGAGCTCCTGGCTAACGTGGCTCTGCCTGTGTCGCAGGGAGCTCGAGGCGCCCCACGGCCAAGTACACGAAGGTGGGGGAGCGGCTGCGCCACGTCATCCCCGGGCACATGCAGTGCTCCATGGCCTGCGGCGGCCGTGCCTGCAAGTACGAGAACCCCACGCGCTGGGCCGAGCATGAGCAGGCTATCAAGGGGCTCTACTCCTCCTGGTGAGCAGCTCAGTGTGGCAGAATAGCTGGGCTTTCTAAAAATCAGCTGCTAAGTGCAAAACATAAGGAGAATTTGATCTGGAATTAGAACCTGACGTAGTGGCTGTTTACACAGCCCAGGAAAGACAGTGAAAAGTTCCTGTTGACTTACAGTGGGTTTGGTTCACATCCAAAAGAATAAATACCTGTCTGTCGTGAATTATTAAAAAGCTGTTCTGGGCTACTAAGGATTAGGATGCAGATGAATTAAGTATGTTAATAATAAAATTGAAAAGTAAAAGCATTTCCTGCAGATGAAATAATGTGGGCATGTGTTCAGAAGGATGTTCATGTGCAGCAAAAGTCACATGTAATGTATCTTGACATTCTTACTGTTTTTTCTCTAACAGCAAATGCTTAAGCAGCATTTGCAAACCTTAAAGGGACAGACAGGGATCTGAGTCCAGATTTCTATTCAAAGGAATTTTTACTTATGTCCTGGCATTTAACCAGTTCCAGTGATTGTCTTTTGATAGTGCTCCATCTGTGTCAGTTTAATAGGATTTATCACTAACACTGTGGCATAGTAGGATTTTTAAAAGTAATTTCTAATTAATCACCAAGGTATTTCTCTTTCTTGAATATAATGGTATTCTTATTTTGTAAGACTCATACCCAGGAAATTATTAATGATAACACTATTATTTACTTTTCTAATTTCTCAGGATAACAGATAACATCCTGGCTATGGCTCGACCCTCAACAGAATTAATTGAAAAGTACAACATTATTGAGCAGTTTGAAAGGTAACAAATTTAGTCATTGTTTATTGTACGTATTACTGGTGTAATTCCTGATCCATTTTCTCTTTCAACATAGATTTGGATTGTTGATAAAGATCCTTTCATTTTTAACGCCCTACAGGTAAAGATTTATTCTCCACTAAGAATAAATATGTGTTTCAGAAAATGAGGGACAATGAGATTTTGGCTGCCTGTAATACTTTGACTCATCTATTTCTTTCTTAAGATGTGGCATAAAAACCATAATTAACCTTCAGCGTCCTGGAGAGCATGCAAGCTGTGGGAACCCCCTGGAGCAGGAGAGCGGCTTCACCTACCTTCCTGAAGCCTTTATGGAGGCTGGCAGTAAGTTCCCTCCTGCTGTTGTTCCTCATTAATTATTGACTTTGGCATTTAAGGATATTTTTACTTGAATTCCTGTGAGTTAAACACAGCTATGTAGGAAACATTGTACAAAACGTGAAACCTGGCAAATACAATGAAGAGCAAATAACACATTATTGAAGATTGTGTATTATACAGAGAGAGATGGAGAGTTTGCGTTCAGGTGGTTCTAAAGGAAGGACAACAGTTATCTTTTTCTTCTGTATTCACAAATTCTGGTACACTCATGTCTTGTTACCTAGACTGTAAAAGGTTATTTTATTTGAGGACACTGCTCCTGACAGTATTTTTGTATTTTCGCATTATGGTCTGGAGAGAGAAAGTGCCTCTCTGTAAAAAGCAGCTGCTAACTGAAGAAGTGCTTTTATTTCTGAAAAGAAAAAATTGCCCTCTTTCTATATATTGCTGAGTAATTTTGCATGAATCACTGTTTTGTTACCTCTTTTACATTCTATCTGAACTTGAGTTTGACAAATCTTTGCTAGCTTCATGTATCTATCAAGTTTTAATAGCAAGCATACACTGAAATGGGAAAATAATCTCTTGCAAACAAGATGTAGTCAGATTTTAATCTCCATTATGCAATTTTAGTGCTATAATTTCTTACTAGTAATTTCTCCTCTGCAAATACTACTACACCTTTCACATTCGGTGTGGCAGAAAATCACTGTCTCTCTTTTTATTTCAGTTTATTTTTATAATTTTGGATGGAAGGATTACGGAGTGGCATCTCTCACGACTATCCTTGACATGGTAAAGGTGATGTCTTTCGCCCTGCAGGAGGGGAGGGTGGCTGTTCACTGCCACGCAGGACTTGGGAGGACAGGTACGTGCCCCGTGCAGGAGCAGCACCAGGGTTCCTCTAGAAATTCCATCTCTGGTTATAAACCAGTAATAACTGGGCGAGATTCAGTGTCATTGCAAGAGGGACCTCTATAAAATGGTTCAAAGTGCTAAACTACTGTGTCCAAATGTCCTCAAAGGCTAGAGAAGACCAGTTTTAGTATACTAAAATGAAAAACCTGTAAGACACAGAATTTTAAAATCTGTATAATTGTTCCATTACATTCAAATGTGACAGCTGCTTTTGGAGGGGAAAAATTCCCTTGGTACACTTTCATTGTCCAGTATTTATAACATGTTCACAAACCTGCCACTCTCTTTGGATCAGGTAGATTTGGTAGAGCACCTAAAATTTCACTGGCTTCTTTCAAGTCCTTTTTGGTTGTGCCCTTCCCATAGAAGCCCTCATTGCTCCCATGTTTGTTAATGGTGGAACTCCTGAAGAGGCTGTGGGGAGCTCCCACTGCAGTGCAGTGAGCAGAGCTTCACTGTCTTGTGCTTCTTCACAGGCAATTACATTTAAGTAACAGCATCACATAATAGAGGACACTCTGTCTTCACCTATATTAATTTCTATCCCATATTTCCACTGAGTGTTTGTTTGAGTCTGACAGTTCCTTCACTAATCCTGTCTTTGTATTTTCCAGGTGTTCTAATAGCTTGCTACTTAGTTTTTGCCACCAGAATGAGTGCTGACCAAGCAATTCTGTTTGTCAGAGCCAAAAGGCCCAATTCCATCCAGACCCGGGGGCAGCTGCTGTGTGTCAGGGAGTTCTCCCAGTTCCTGGTCCCTCTCCGCAATGTCTTTGCATGCTGTGAGCCCAAGGCACATGCAGTTACCCTGTCCCAGTACCTGACCCGCCAGAGGCACCTGCTCCATGGCTACGAGAGCAGGCACCTCAAGCATGTGCCAAAACTCATCCACCTGGTGTGCAAGCTGCTGCTGGACCTGGCTGAGAACAGACAGGTGGTAGAGGCAGAGCTGCTGGACATCCCAGACCTCTCAGCTGAGATTGAGAAGACCGTGTCCCAGCTGGCATCCACGGAGCTCGAGCGGGAGCTGGCCAGGCACGACAGCGACACGTCGGACTCGTCCAACACCCACTCCTCTGCTCTCGACAGCCAGGACTCACACTCCTCCCTGGGATACGAATGTGATGCTTTCTGTAAAAGAAGGAATGTCGAATTCCTTCAGCCTCTTACTCATCTGAGAAGGCGTCTGAGCTACAGTGAGTCAGACCTAAGGAGAACTGAGTTTCTTTTGGAACAGGATGACACTGCCTGGACAGTGCCTGCTCAGATCTTAGTGAACAACAAACCCAAGCAGAACAGTGGGGAGGAATGTTCTGCCACAGGTGAGGCAAAGCCACAGCTGGAGTTAAACAAAGAAGCATTAGTGCGTAACACATGCATGTTCTGGAGTCAAGGGAGATTTCGTTTGGATGGACGAAGGGATGGCTCCTATCACAGAAAGAGCTTTGCCAAAGAAGTACAACGCAGCAGGACCTTTTCCTCAGACCTCGCGTCCATGCACGATCCCAGGGAACCTGGGATGCCAAGGCACAGCTTTGCCAACGACACTGCTCACAGGAAGGACCACAAGACCAATATATATGGCAGGAGAGTGTATCTCTCTGAGGACTCTGACTCTTCTTCTTCCTCTTCTAAAGTGAACTTTTCCATTGGATATGAAAGCGAGAGTAGCAGAGAGCTGTCAGAGACAATTCCACACATTGTTCTGCAGTCAGAATTAAGTTTGGAAGCCCGAAGAGTTTTGGCAGCCAAAGCACTTGCAGATATAAATGAATTTCTGGGAGAGGATGAAGTGAAGCAGAAGGTAGAAATGTGGCAGGTAATTTTTAACTCAAATCCATGCTACGAGCTCTGCATATTTCACCTCAGTGAATTCCTGGAATGGTAAAAATGCCATGTGGAGCTTTGAAATGGCACATTGGGATAGCAGGTTATATGAGGTCTGGGTTCAGGTCTTCCACAGGCTGGCAAGATGCACCTACATGTTCTGGTGTATAGCAGGAGGGTGGAGGTTCTGGTATGTTCACTTTCCTAACTGGGTGAAATTGATACCATTATTTCTGGCTGCTGGTGGCACAGAAATAGTACAGGTTTAAAGGTCTGAGTTGGTTTTCACCAGTGTTTTCTCAGAACTAATCAGAGGATTTGTGAGTAAAAGAAAAAGAATTTAGCAGAAACTTAATTGCTTATTGTCAAACCCAAATCCTCTTAGCAACATTTGCTTCGAAGTTGTAATGCAAAGCTGGTTTATGTATTCCAGTGGAATACTGGGAGGTTCTCAGCTGCCCTGCTGCTGTCATCCTTCTGTTTGAATGAATCACTTGTATTACTGCTGATTAATGTTGATACTCTGGAAAAAAATACAAATTTTTTGGATAACTCTTTTATTGTTGGAACATAAGAGCCAAATACTGCTACAATCAAGGAAAATGTTGGCAAAGGTATATAGATGATGAATTTTCAGTTTTTTGTTTGTTTGTTTGTGGTTTTGTTTTTGTTTTTGTTTTTGTTTTTTTTGTTGTTTTTGTTTTGTTTTAAGAAAGAACTGAATTCTCAAGATGGAGCTTGGGATAAAATCTGCACCGAGAGAGATCCTTTTATCCTCTGCAGCTTGATGTGGTCATGGATAGAGCAGCTGAAAGAACCTATTATATCCAAAGATGATATTGACATGCTGGCAAAAAATTGCACAAAATCCCAGGATGCGCTCTACTTGCTGAGAAAGGTACATATTGGATCTGACAATTCATTCTTTCACTTTAGGCAAGGGCTGCACTTTAAAAAAGCCATTTCAGTCTCTTTCAAAATCAGAATGAGAATTTATTCTGCATCAAATTGTGTGACTTGTCTGGGTATCTCTAGATATCTTCTAGTCCAAATGTCTTGCTCAAAACAGAGTTACCTAGAGCTGGCTGCTTGTGTGACAAATGCTCCAACCCCTTAATTAAGCTGGAAAAGGGTTGGGAAGGAACAGCCACAAAGATTGTTCCTCCCTTTCTTCCTCCTTGCTAGCACTGCTCAGGTGTCTCTCTGCCAGCTTCCAGTGGTGACAGAGACTTGGAAGGACAGAGAGAGGTACAAGATGGGGAAAAAAGCCCTGAACATGCACAGCATTTTGGGCTGAAAAGATCAAATTTCACCTTTCCTGTGCCAATTCACAGGAAGGCTACTGTTCATGGAGGGAATCTTGAAATTCCCAGAAATATCGAGGAATTCCCAGAGTAGTTTGTGGCACTCAGGAGAAGAGTTTTCCCATCATGACTGAAATAATTATGCAGAGGCTCTTTGGGCTGGTGGGAATTCCCCACCAACTCCTGCACATGAAGGTTTTAGCACAGGAAGGCACAACCTGGTGTTTAAACAGCAGTTAACAAAATCTGAGTGCTAAACTGCTTTTTACGGAACTATTTCTTCTGATGAGTTGCTGTTCCTTTTCTCCACCAGGAGCAGTATCAGACCATCCTTTGTATTTTACACTGTGTGGTGAAACTGCAGGTGCTGCCAGCTGACGTGGAGGAGGCCGTACTTGCTCGTGCTATTAAAGCTTTCACCAAGGCAAGTAATACCAAGTAACTATCCAAGGTATTCTATTTACTTGGTTTAAATCAAGAAGGGTTAATCAATCAACAGAGGGAGGCCTCCGTGAGAAAGGGTACAGTAATTCCTTCATGCTTCAGTGTGAAACTTATTTATTTCAGAGTTTACATTTTATAATAATCACATACATAAAGGGTTGGAAATGTTCTCAACAAAATTAAATTCTGTCACTACAATCTTAATCCTGGAGTCTCATTTTTCTCTTTCTGGACCACTGCCAGTTCATGGACATCTTCAAATTAGGGAAAAGATAATTTTACAGGGTGACACTGACTAATCACCTAGAGTAGCTTACCAAAGGCTTTGGTAGATTCTGTATCATGTGATTCAGATTAAATAGGTTTCTGAAATTACACTGCAAGTCAGTTCTGTTCCAGGCCTGTACCACAGGATGTGAGTAACTAATTTCTGCTTTGGGCTCATTCATAACAGTGACAGGTTAAGCTATTGCTCAGCTCATTTCTTCTCAGATTCAGTCAATGAAATCTGAGCTTGAACAGAATGTTCACCATACTGCTTCCTCATCTCTTGTAAATCTGCCTGTTAAAACAATCATCACATTTCTCCTTCTCTTTTATTTTAATGTCTAGTTAGCATAAAACTGAAAACACTTAGCATTAAGCACTCCATCAAAAACACATCTTTGATAAATCTCAAAGCTTTTTTTAAATTTAATGTTGTGCATCTAATTTGCATTTTGCTGTATAGCATCTCTTTAACAACTGTACTGAAACTTCTCTCTTTTATTAGACAAGCTTCAATTCTGAGAATGGGCCATACGTTTACAATACCTTGAAAACTGTATTTAAACAAGCACTGGAAGAAAAAAGGAACAGGATTAAAGAAGGAACAGAGAATCCCTCTTGATTTCTACACAGCTCTGCTGAAGCATTAGATGGGCCTACCAAATTATTTTGCATTTTCCAGCTACTGTATTTTGTGCTACTAGGCATGATCTACTTAACTTTAGGTAATAGAAGTTATTAACAAATAATTTTAATTTTTTAGAGGGAGTTTTAGTGACAGTTGTTCAGTCTACATAGTTTTAAAGAACGGCTCCATGTGACCATTCTCTGTAGCTTTTTGTTTCAGGTACTGTTCTTTTTTGTTGTGAAGGGTTCTCCTGTTCTCAGATGTGTTTATTGATTTGGAAACCTCTGTTATTGGCAAGAAACATTATTGTCAAGGTATATGACTGCCATAAGTTCAGTGCCATGATGCCCAAAGGTTTAATGGATTAATATTTATGTATTCCATATGTTTACATTAATGATATTTGATTTTACTTTGCAGAAAATAAATATTGACTGAACCTGTGAAACTGCTTTTCCTTTCAGAAATTTTGAAGTAAGATAAACAGTAATAATGGAGAGACTGACAGATCTTGAGATCTGTTAGTGAAAGCAGATAGTATTTTCCTTCAGATCTCTTAAATAATAACCAAAGTATTTCTAGAAGGTGTTGCAGGAGAGAAATGCACTGTGTTGAGCAGTAGTCATCAAGCCCTAATTTAGACTTTTTTGGCTGAGAAAGCTTCAAATTGTTTTTAACAGAAAACTGATTGAGGCATTTAAAATGCTTTGGATAAGAGTAAAATTTTACTTCATTAGCTAAGCTTTTCTTGCTTTAAGTGAAAAAACACTTCATCGTGAAATCATCATAAGGATATGATTCTGTCCCTACTTACATCCAGCAAATACTTACATAAAGAATGTGATATAATCATACTAAAAATATATTAATCAAAACCTTACTAGCTGCAATACACTTTGCCGAGGCATTTTTATCTAATAAAACAGAAAGAGCTGGGCCATCATCCTAACACAGTTCTGGGTTCCAGCTTTAGGATCTGGACTGGAATGCCACTTTGCAGAATAAGCGGTTCATCAAATTTGGTGATTTAAATAGTTAAACAAGAATCTATACTTTTTCAAAATATTTTTATTCATTTCTGTAAATGACTAACATTTAGAGTGAAAAATAGACCAGTTTGAAATACAGGTAATTTATATATGCCTTGACTGATGGATGATTTTATATAAAATTCAAATTAAAACGGCTACTTCGACAGAATCATCTTAAAATAGGCAAACTTGAAAGGAAAATATCACATGTGAATCACAAATCCAGCTTTGCAAAGGGGCAAGGCAACACAACAGGCAGTTCTGTGTTAGCATCAGCAGTCAGGCTCAAATAAATACCATCTTCTAATCTAGTGAATGCCCCTTCTTCAGAGACTGCTCTGGTGCTCTGCCATCTCACACAGCAGAGTGTGATTCACGTACTGCAGCCCAGAGTTAGGTTGTTGCAACATTGAAATGGGTGTGGTTGGCAGGATGGCTGGGCATAAATCACTACAGAACTAAAGCAAATGTGTGCACCGTGCCAGGCTGGACTTGAATAGACACAGGAATTGTGGAAAGATGAGGACAAGATAGCAGAGAACAATGGAAAAACCAGCTGAAAAGGAGGACATGCTAAAGGAGTTATTTGTGCACATTTGGGGCTATATTTTTCTTGGGTGCAAAGCAAAATGAAAAGCTCCTAAACGCCCAAATGATGAGAACTGTGTGTGGTAAATAGATATGATTCATGCTGACAAAATTGAAAGAGTAATCAATACTGATAAAGTAATTAATATTTGGAAATAATAAAACAGTTAAAGGTGTAATGCCAAGCAAGAAAGGGAGACGAGGGTTCCCCCCCCTCCCTACAAGTCTCCTGCAGATGTTCAGAAAAGAGAGAAGCAAGAGATAACTATGACTAAATTTAGTTGGAAGAGAGGAGAATTTGGTTGGACACCAGGCAAATGTTGATTATATGAGATTCACTGCTTTAATGTTAGAACACAATATTGGCTTATACAGTACCAGCTTGGTGCACATGTGTAATCCAAAAGATGAACTACAGGACATGGAGGAAGAGGAGAGGCCTTCCTCAAAGAAGATCCCCAAAGAGTGGTGCAACTTACTTAAAGAATGGTGGAGCATGAGTGGTAAAGGTGATGATGAGGGCGGTGATACAAGTGTGATGAATTTAAAATAGGAGGAGATGGTAATGGCCAAATACAGCATAAAAAGGAGAATGTTGGCTTGACAAGCTTGTACGTGAGGTGACGGGGGGTCCAAAAGCCCTGCACTCCGTACCCCACGCATACCCCACGAGATTATTTTTGCTTATACGCTATTATCAGGACGAAATTATTCGTTATTTACAGCAAACGATACTGTCAATATTTTAAGTGTATTCAATTGTATTTATATTAAGCTACATAATTCAAATTGCTGTTTTATTTCATTTTGTTTGGTTGTTTTTTTGTTGTGGTTTTTTTTTTAATTGGAAAATTGGGCAAATATTTGGCTGAGCCCCCCGCTGAGCTATCCTGGCCGGCCGGCATTCCCCGCTGGGCTTCTGCCCTGAGGATAATAGCCGACATAGCTGGCGCACCGAACATAGCGGACGCCCGAACAGCGAGGGGCCCCTGGGCCGACATCTGAACCGCTGTGATATCCTGGCCGCGGAACTGAATGCCGGACCTGGCATTTCAGAGGAGCAGCATTTCTTCGTGAAATTGTCACTGCCTCCGCGCCAGAAATCCTGGAAGGGGAAGCTCTTCGTTATAGAAGGACTCTTCTGGACAGGAGGGCAGCCGACCCGCAACCCCGACACCTGAACACTTGCTCGTGGAGGCTGACGAGCAGACGACCCCCAGCAGAACTTTGACCCACAACAGGCTGAAGAATTGTAAGTTTAACACAGCCTTTCTTGCTTGCAAAATATTTTTTCCTTGGGTCCTTTTTTTTTGGTTTTTTTTTTTTTTTTTTTTTTTTTTTTTTCTTGCGGGGGCCTGAAAAAATGGGGCCTTTCTACTCCCTAAGAATCACAGGGAACAGTTTCCTCTCAACCCCACAGCAATGTGGGTACAAGTTGTGGGACCGAGTAAGCCTGTCACCCCGGTGCCCCCGGTGCCCGCCGTGCCCCCGTACCGATGTGGGCGCCGGGCCCCCTCCGCGCGCCCCGGGCCCGCACGGCCTCGCGGATCCGCTCCACCTCCTGCTGGTAGCGCCGCTTGTCCAGGCGCGCCCCCTCCTTGGCCGCCCTCAGCGCCCCTTCCAGGGCCTGCACTCGCCCAGCCGTAGCGCGCAGCCGCTTCTCCAGCTTCGGAAGCTCACAGCGCAGGTCTGCATTGTCACGGACCAGCTGTGCGACACGTCAGTACCGGCACCGGCACCGGCACCCGCCGGCACCGGGACCCCGCCGGGGCTGGGACCCCGCCCGGACCCGCTGCGGCACCGCCCGTGCCACCCGAACCTGTCCCCGCACCTGTCCCTGCCCCGCACCTGTCCTACACCGGCTGTGCGACACGGCAGAACCGGCACCGGGACCGCGGCGGGAGCGGGAGCCACTCCCAACATCACCGGCACCGGCACCGGCACCGACACCCGCACACACCGGTGCCGGCACCGGCACGGACCCGCTCCGGTTCCGGCAGTGGCACCGGCACCGGGCACTCAGCGGCTCAGCCCCGCAGCCCGGCCCCGCAGCCCCCCGGCGCCAGCAGCGCCTCGGGGGTCGCCGTGCCCCCAGCGGTACCTGGGGGTGTCCCGGCCCCCCCAGCAGTGTCCCGGGCTGTCCTCCCAGCACTGTCCCGGGCTGTCCCAGCACTGTCCCGGGCTGTCCCGAGCTGTCCCGGGCTGTCCCAGCACTGTCCCGAGCTGTCCCCCCAGAACTGTCCCGGGCTGTCCCAGCAGTGTCCCGGCTGTCCCGAGCTGTCCCGGGCTGTCCCAGCAGTGTCCCGGCTGTCCCGGGCTGTCCCGGGCTGTCCCAGCAGTGTCCCGGGCTGTCCCAGCAGTGTCCCGGCTGTCCCGGGCTGTCCCGGGCTGTCCCGCCCCCCCAGCAGTGCCGCATGCAGGGGGGGCTGTGCCGGGGGACAGTGAGGGGGGCTGGGGGCGCAGGGAGTGAGGGAGGGGCTCACAGCCGGGGGGGCACTCAGGGAAGGGGCGCCGGGGGAGCCAGGAAAGCGAGCGGGGGCTGCGGCACTGGAGGGGCCCTGGGGTGGGTGCCCCCTGCCCCCCGTGCCCCCCCCGCGCACCTGTTTGTGAACCTTTGTAAGCTGCTCCAGGTTGTTCTCAAGAAAGGAAATCTTCTGCTTCTGGGAGTGGAGCCCCCCACTGTCCTCGGGTTCCAGCTCTGCGCTCTGGGGGCACGGGGACCCCCGTCGGAACCAGATCCCCCACTGGAAACCCTTCCCTTCCCTTCCCTTCCCTTCCCTTCCCTTCCCTTCCCGGATCTTCCCTTCCCTTCCCGGAACTTCCCTTCCCGGAACTTCCCTTCCCGGAACTTCCCTTCCCTTCCCGGAACTTCCCTTCCCTTCCCGGAACTTCCCTTCCCTTCCCGGAACTTCCCTTCCCTTCCCCCCTGGCTGAGAGCAGCAGACCCTGTGCAGCACCCTGCATTGGTGATGGCCCATCAATTAGGTCCTATCAAGTGTGTGTTAATTAGGGAGGAGCTTTGTTTTGCCTGCTGACATTGCTTGTCAGGCTGTGTCCCTGGAGATGCTCTTGATGGCTTCCCTCTTTTCCTGGGCATGGCACTGGAGGAGGTCTGGGCCCAGATGATCCCACGGAAGGAAATTTCTCCCCATTTTTCCCCTTTTCCCCCCTCACTTTCTTGACTCGAGTCGTGACGTCTTGAACAAACAGCTTGCGCAGGTTGTGGAGGGTCTGGAGTTCACGGGCCTGGGGGGGGTGCGGAGGGTTCGGGGGTGCACGGGGACCCCCCAGACCCCCCCCAGGCCCCTCTGAGCCCCCCAGGACCCCCCACCTACCACGGTCTCCTCCAGCCCCTTGAGGTCCTGCTTGGACTGCTCGTGGCGCTCGTACAGGAGCCTGGGGGGCAGGGACCCCAAGTTAGGGGGGCTCAATGCAAGGGGGGCACCCCTGGGTTTGGGGGGGCCACCCAGGATTGGAGGGGGTCGGTGCAAGGAGGGGAGGGCACCCCAAAGTTGGGAGGGTCACTTCAAGTTTGAGGGGGGCAGCAAAAGAATGGAGGTTCCAAGGTTAGAGGGACCCCGAGGTTGGGGAGCACCCCAAAGTTGGGGGGGTCACTTGAAGGTTGGGGGATGTCTGGGGGTCCTGGGGGGCTCTGGGGGTCAGGTTTAGGGTCCCAAGGATGGGTCCTGGGGGTTTGGGGTTCCTGGTGTGTCAGCAGGGTCAGGGGGGATGGGTGGGGGTCCTGTGGTGAGTTCCTGGTGAGTCTGGGAGTTGGGGTCCCCAGGGGAATGTGGGGGAGCCCCAGGGGTTGGGTTGGGGTCCCCAGGGGAGTCCTGGGGATTGGGTTGGGGTCCCCAGGGGAGCCCTGGCAGTTGAGTTGGGGTCCCCAGGGTGATCACAGGGGTTGGGTTGGGGTCCCCAGGGGAATCCCAAGGAGCCCTGGGGGTCGGGTTGGAGTCCCCAGGGTGATCTAGGGGTGCCCCAGGGGTTGGGTTGGGGTCCCCAGGGGAATGTGGGGGAGCCCCAGGGGTTGTGTTGGGGTCCCCAGGGGAGTCCTGGGGGTTGAGTTGGGGTCCCCAGGGTGATCACAGGGGTTGGGTTGGGGTCCCCAGGGGAATCCCAAGGAGCCCTGGGGGTCGGGTTGGAGTCCCCAGGGTGATCTAGGGGTGCCCCAGGGGTTGGGTTGGGGTCCCCAGGGGAATGTGGGGGAGCCCTGGAAGTTGGGTTGGGGTCCCCAGGGGAATCCCAAGGAGCCCCGGGGGTTGGTTTGGGTCCCCAGGAGGATCTAGGGGTGCTCTGGAGGTTGGGTTGGGGTCCCCAGGGGAATGTGGGGAGCCCCAGGGATTGGGTTGGGGTCCCCAGGGGAATGCCGAGGAGCCCTGGGGGTTGGGGTCCCCAGGAGGATCTAGGGGAGCCCCAGGAATTGGGTTGGGGTCTCAAACAGAATCTAGTGGAGCCCTGGGGATTGGGTTGGGGTCCCCAGGGGAATCCTGGGGAATGTGGGGTCCCCAGGGGAATGTGGGGAGCCCCAGGGATTGGGTTGGGGTCCCCAGGGGAATCCCGGGGAATGTGGGGTTTGATTGGGGTCCCTGGGGGAATCCCGGGGGTTGGGTTGGGGTCCCCAGGGGAATGTGGGGAGCCCCGGGGGTTGGGGTCCCCAGGAGGATCCAGGGGTGCCCCGGGGGTTGGGTTGGGGTCGCAGGGGAGCCCCAGAGGCCCCGGGCTGGGGTCCTGGGGGTCTCACGTGAGCTCCTGCAGCCGCGCCGCCTTGGCCCTCTCCTCGGCCCGCAGCGCCTCGTGCTCCGCCCGCAGCCGCTCCAGCTCCAGCTCCAGCTTCTGGTTCTGGCTGTGACGGACACACGGACACGGGTCAGGCATGGACGGACACGGGGACAGGAACGGATCGACGGGAGGACACGGGAGCAGATGGATAGATGAGGGAAGGAAGGAAGGATGGATGATGGATAATGGATGGATGGATGGAGGGATGGATGGAGGATGGATAGATGGATGGATGATGATGGATGGATGCTGGATGGATGGATGGAGGGATGGATGGAGGATGGATAGATGGATGGATGATGATGGATGGATGCTGGATGGATGGATGGAGGGATGGATGGAGGATGGATAGATGGATGGATGATGATGGATGGATGCTGGATGGATGGATGGAGGGATGGATGGAGGATGGATAGATGGATGGATGATGATGGATGGATGCTGGATGGATGGATGGAGGGATGGATGGAGGATGGATAGATGGATGGATGATGATGGATGGATGCTGGATGGATGGATGGAGGGATGGATGGAGGATGGATAGATGGATGGATGATGATGGATGGATGCTGGATGGATGGATGGAGGGATGGATGGAGGATGGATAGATGGATGGATGATGATGGATGGATGCTGGATGGATGGATGGAGGGATGGATGGAGGATGGATAGATGGATGGATGATGATGGATGGATGCTGGATGGATGGATGGAGGGATGGATGGAGGATGGATAGATGGATGGATGATGATGGATGGATGCTGGATGGATGGATGGAGGGATGGATGGAGGATGGATAGATGGATGGATGATGATGGATGGATGCTGGATGGATGGATGGAGGGATGGATGGAGGATGGATAGATGGATGGATGATGATGGATGGATGCTGGATGGATGGATGGAGGGATGGATGGAGGATGGATAGATGGATGGATGATGATGGATGGATGCTGGATGGATGGATGGAGGGATGGATGGAGGATGGATAGATGGATGGATGATGATGGATGGATGCTGGATGGATGGATGGAGGGATGGATGGAGGATGGATAGATGGATGGATGATGATGGATGGATGCTGGATGGATGGATGGAGGGATGGATGGAGGATGGATAGATGGATGGATGATGATGGATGGATGCTGGATGGATGGATGGAGGGATGGATGGAGGATGGATAGATGGATGGATGATGATGGATGGATGCTGGATGGATGGATGGAGGGATGGATGGAGGATGGATAGATGGATGGATGATGATGGATGGATGCTGGATGGATGGATGGAGGGATGGATGGAGGATGGATAGATGGATGGATGATGATGGATGGATGCTGGATGGATGGATGGAGGGATGGATGGAGGATGGATAGATGGATGGATGATGATGGATGGATGCTGGATGGATGGATGGAGGGATGGATGGAGGATGGATAGATGGATGGATGATGATGGATGGATGCTGGATGGATGGATGGAGGGATGGATGGAGGATGGATAGATGGATGGATGATGATGGATGGATGCTGGATGGATGGATGGAGGGATGGATGGAGGATGGATAGATGGATGGATGATGATGGATGGATGCTGGATGGATGGATGGAGGGATGGATGGAGGATGGATAGATGGATGGATGATGATGGATGGATGCTGGATGGATGGATGGAGGGATGGATGGAGGATGGATAGATGGATGGATGATGATGGATGGATGCTGGATGGATGGATGGAGGGATGGATGGAGGATGGATAGATGGATGGATGATGATGGATGGATGCTGGATGGATGGATGGAGGGATGGATGGAGGATGGATAGATGGATGGATGATGATGGATGGATGCTGGATGGATGGATGGAGGGATGGATGGAGGATGGATAGATGGATGGATGATGATGGATGGATGCTGGATGGATGGATGGAGGGATGGATGGAGGATGGATAGATGGATGGATGATGATGGATGGATGCTGGATGGATGGATGGAGGGATGGATGGAGGATGGATAGATGGATGGATGATGATGGATGGATGCTGGATGGATGGATGGAGGGATGGATGGAGGATGGATAGATGGATGGATGATGATGGATGGATGCTGGATGGATGGATGGAGGGATGGATGGAGGATGGATAGATGGATGGATGATGATGGATGGATGCTGGATGGATGGATGGAGGGATGGATGGAGGATGGATAGATGGATGGATGATGATGGATGGATGCTGGATGGATGGATGGAGGGATGGATGGAGGATGGATAGATGGATGGATGATGATGGATGGATGCTGGATGGATGGATGGAGGGATGGATGGAGGATGGATGATGGATGGATGGGGTCAAGTTCATGTGAGGTTTTGGGGGTCAGGTTGGGGGTCTGATTTGGGGTCAGGTTTGGGGTCAGGTCTGGGGTCAGGTTGGGGGTCAGGTTCACGTCAGGGTGGGCTCAGGGCTCTGGCCAGGTGGGGCTCTGGCCGGGGTCACTCACTCCCGCAGCTCGTCGATGGTTTTCTGCCGCTCGTTGACCTCGTCGCGCAGCCGCGCCAGCTGCTTGTGCTGGGCCTCGCGCTGGCTCTCGAGCTGCAGCTCCAGCGCCGCCTGCGCCCGCGGGCGCCTCAGCTCAGGCACCCCAACATTTCCTGGGCACCCCAGTACCTCCCACCAGGGCACCTCCCGGGGACCCACACCCAACACCCCACAGGGACCCCACACCCCACGGGGATCCCACTCCCGAACGTCCCCCAGGGACCCAAACACCCCTACATTCGCAGGGATCCTACACCTCAACATCCCGGGGATCCCATACCCCAAACACCCCCAGGGACTCCACATCCCAACACATCTCAGAGACCCCACACCCCAACCACCCACAGGGACGCCATACCCAACACCTCCCAGGGACCCCCCAGGGACCCAACACGCTTGGGGACCCCACACTGCAACACCTCCCAGGGACCCCACACCCCAACACCCTTGGGGACCCCACTCCCCAACATCCCCTAGGGACCCAAACACCCCTACATTTGCAGGGATCCCCCACCCCAACATCCCCAGGACGCCCGCACCTGGATGGATGGATGGATGATGGAGGATGGATGGATGGATGGATGGTTGGATGAGGGTTGATGGATGGATGGATGGATGGATGGATGGATGGATGATGGATGATGGATGGATGGATGGATGGATGGATGGATGGATGGATGGATGATGGATGGATGGATGATGGATGATGGATGGATGATGGATGGATGATGGATGGATGGATGGATGGATGGATGGATGGATGGATGGATGATGGATGGATGGATGGATGGGGTCAAGTTCATGTGAGGTTTTGGGGTCAGGTTTGGGGTCAGATTTGGGGCCAGGTTTGGGGTCAGGTTGGGGGTCAGGTTGGGGGTCAGGTTCACGTCAGGGTGGGCTCAGGGCTCTGGCCAGGTGGGGCTCTGGCCGGGGTCACTCACTCCCGCAGCTCGTCGATGGTTTTCTGCCGCTCGTTGACCTCGTCGCGCAGCCGCGCCAGCTGCTTGTGCTGGGCCTCGCGCTGGCTCTCGAGCTGCAGCTCCAGCGCCGCCTGCGCCCGCGGGCGCCTCAGCTCGGGCACCCCAACATTTCCTGGGCACCCCAGCACCTCCCACCAGGGCACCTCCCGGGGACCCACGCCCAACACCCCACAGGGACCCCACACCAAACACCCCACGGGGATCCCACTCCCCAACGTCCCCCAGGGACCCAAACACCCCTACATTCGCAGGGATCCTACACCTCAACATCCCGGGGATCCCATACCCCAAACACCCCCAGGGACCCCACATCCCAACACATCTCAGAGACCCCACACCCCAACAACCCACAGGGACGCCATACCAAACACCTCCCAGGGACCCCCCAGGGACCCAACACGCTTGGGGACCCCACACTGCAACACCTCCCAGGGACCCCACACCCCAACACCCTTGGGGACCCCACTCCCCAACATCCCCTAGGGACCCAAACACCCCTACATTTGCAGGGATCCCCCACCCCAACATCCCCAGGACCCCCACACCAAACAACGCCCAGGGACCCCACACCCCCAGGGACCCACGCAGCCCTACACCCGCGGGGACCCCACACCCCAACACCCCCCAGGGACCCTCAGCACGCCCACATTCCCAGCGAGTCCTTGGAGCTGCCATCTCCCAGGGACCCCCACACCGTGCACCCAGCCTCGTGGAGACCCCAACCTCCCCAGCATCCCCCCCACACCCCCCAGACC